TCTGGTGGCTAGAGCTGGGCGCCAGGACGCCTGGGTTCTCCCCGGCTCTGGGAAGGGAGGGGCTGGTGGCTAGAGCTGGGCGCCAGGACGCCTGGGTTCTCTCCTGCTCACCCTGTGTCGTTGGTTGGCAGAGGGCCCCGGGGCGGTGGACTCGGCTCTCCGGTATCTCGCCTCCCTCTTCCCTCGCCAGCTCTTCGAGGATGCGCTGCCCCCTCTCGTCTTGAAGCACCAGCTCTACAGCCTGGTGAAGGACCGCACGGCCGTGGACAGGCACCTGGTGAGTGCCCCCCCACCCCAGGGCACCCGTGCACAGCAGACCCTGGGCCCCCCTAGGGTGGGACCTCCTCCCTCACATTGCCCCCTCTGGAGTGTAAACCCTGAATGAGACCTTCAGGCGTGGCAGGGGGAACTGCACGGTGTGCGCTGGAGACATTCGCCCCCTCCCTCAGTGCGGAGGAGGCCATGCCCTGACTCCACCCCGAAGTGCGGCTCCCGCTGGCTGGTGTAGACACCACAGCGCCCAAGGTCATGGCTACGAAAGGTCGGTTGTCGGTGATTACGAGCGACAGCAAACAGGTCAGAGCAGGTTACCGACGCGACCCGACGTTCAAACCAAGCGTCCGACATAGGTCGAACGGGAATGGCAGATCCTCCCCGGCAGAGCTGCTACGAGCCGGCACCGGAGCCTCAGGGCGCTTCGCTGCCTTTGCAGCCAGATTGGAATCTCAGAAGCTCGTTCACAGGCTAGAAGTCCCTTCTGTCTGGGTCCCACGCTTCCTCCGGGTCAGCTCTTGTTCCCCAGACGTTCCCGGGAGCTCCCTTGGCTGGGGAGTCAGCGAAAAACCACCATGCGGCCGTACACGGCTGATAGCGCCTGGTGAGAGCCCTTCACCTCCCAGCCTCGTTCCCATGCCCGGTTGTGGAAACACACGGGTGGAGTCCAGCGCCGGGTGACCGGTCGTGTCCCAGCAGCCGGGAGTCGGAGGCGGGGGAGAGACGCTCTCTGGCCAGTTGCTCTTTCCAATGGCTGGTCGCCTTTTGCCTAGTTCGGGTTCACCCGGTGCAAGCCCATCTGTAAAACTTTGACATTGTCGGGGTTCCCCTCGATCCTGCACCCCCGTAGCAGCCAGAACAGTCTCCACCAGCCAATAAACAGAGAGGGGTTATTGCTTCTCCAGGATACAGCCCAGCACCGCCGTGATGTGGCTACAGGAGTCAGGGCCAAGACGCCTCCAGCCCCTTGGGTTAGGGGTCCATCGCCCTCTCAGCTTAGTCTGTTCCCCTCATGTTTCCCAGCCAGAAACTGCCCCTGCCCCCAACACTCACTGCCGTTGTTCAGTCCCTGCCCTCAACAGGTAAGAACCAATTGAGTCCTTGTCTACATGACCATAGGATCCTCAGGTGGCCCTCCCTGCTGTGCAGCGCTTACAGCTACAGGCCAGTAGGGGTCACCCACAGCCCAAACGCAGTGTACAGCCTCCCACTAGGTCACACAGACAGCTCCCTTCAGGCCGGGCGGTGGTGAGTTCACGCACACACGGACCCACGGTGCTCAGCATAGGCTAACGTTTCCCACGCGCGCTCACAATATGCTAGACACAGTCTCATGGCTCTGACCCATGGGGTGCAGTGCCCCCCCCACATTAACCCTCCCCTCCGCAGAGCCGGCTGAAGGATGAGGGGCTGGTCCGGCTCTTCCAGCTCGGATTCGACACGGAGGCCTTCGGGGTGGTGTTCGCTCAGGACTACGTGGCCAAGGTCAGGTTCTGCCCCACCCCCAGCCGTGGGAGGGTGGCCCCAGGGAGGGCCTGGTGTGGGTAACAGGTCCCCCTGTCTCCGCCCAGGTGCTGCAGTCCGTGGAGGGGAAGGAGCAGGCCGGGACGGTGCGCAGGTTCCTGCAGACGGCTTTCACCTCCTGTGCCGACGTCAGCTACGAGAAGGGCCGCATGCTGAGGGACTTCGGCTTCCAGGACCACGACATCACGTGGGTGGCTGAGGGTGCGGGGGGCAGGGGGACGCAGCCTCCCAGAGCCCCCGGCCCAGCCGCATTCCCCCTCTCGCCCCAGCGCCCCCTTGGTGTTCTATGCGGCTGTTCCCCACCCCAGAGGGGGCGCATCTCTGTGCTGGGCGAGGGGTTCCCCTATAACCTTCCCCACGTGGGACTGGGGGAGAAGTCCCTGCGTGCCCAGCTCCAGTGCTCCACCCCAGAGGGGACGCATCCGGATGCCGGGTCTCTGGAGCAAAGGACACTGAGGTGAGGACAGGTCTCTTCTGTCCCCTCTCCCAGGCTGCTGGTCAGCGCGGGAGTCCTGACCGTCCGGGACGCCGGCAGCTGGTGGCTTGCGGTGCCCGGAGCCGGGCGCTTCGTTAAATGCTTCATCAAAGGTTTGTGTGGGCACCCTCCCCCCCCAGCCAGCCCCTGCCAGAGGGGACAGGCCGACTGAGCCCTCTCTCCCCGCCCAGGGCGCAAGGCCGTGCAGGCCATGATCCAGAAAGCCAAGTACAAGGAGGTTTTGCTGTCGGACCTACAGAGCCGCCGGGCTCCCCGGGCCGTGAAACTGGGGCTGCCCTATCACATCCACGACCTCATCGGGGCCCAGCTGGTCGACTGGTATGTCCCCCCCACCCTCCC